TTCTCATAGCGCTCACCGCCTCCGTAACGCTAGCTCTGTGCTAAATCGTCTTTGCATGGCCGGCCATCTCAGGCCTGGCTCATATTGCCCGCTGGATTCTCTGAACACAGATATCCCCACAATTAAACACTTCCTTGCGTCATTGAAACGGTTTTCACCTTTTGCAGTAGCAGATGCAGACCCCAGGGTTCAATCCCTAGCCCTCACCCTACCGATCTACAGTATCTGTGTCGGCCCCAAGGCTTGAACCCACGACCTGTGTATTTGTAACAGTTAGTAGTCTGTCGTAGGGTCCCATAGGAAGCAGGGGTTCGATCTGTAGATCTATAGAGTAGGAGTCTTAGCAAGTTCCAGAAGCCTAGCTGTAGTCCTTCTAGAAGGTCAGCAAGTGGGCAAGTGGGCAAGTGGGCAAGTGGGCAAGTGGTGAGCCAAGTGGTGGACTAAACTGCAGTGCAATCGCAGTACGACCACGGTAGGTTAGCAGTGAGTCCACAGTCAGTCAGCGGTAAGGTCCAGTCAGTCCCAGTCCGGTCCAGCAAGTACCACAGGGGACTGTGAGCACCATGGGCCGATGGAAAGGGGCAGACCACCGGGTTTCAGAAGTATAAATCAAGAGGCAGCGCCCAGCCATTCATTCATTCCTGCGTGAGCCATGCGGAAGCGCTGCCACAGCGACTTGTGCAAGGAGGTCTGCAGAGAGCCCGGAGCTGAAGTGGGTGAGAGAGAAGGAGCGTAGCATAGCGATAGGGTAGTGGCAGCTATAGCTGCCATAGCTGTAGTTTAGTGTGAGTGTGTGTGTGTGTGCGAGTGTTCAGAGTGACGCGTGTGGGATATCCAGGGTGATCCGGTGTGTGTGAACAGTGAGTTGTTTGGGCGCTGAGTCGCCATAGCCTATTGGAAGTGAACTCGTATCTGGATGCCATATCTCTGAGTTTTGAGTGGGCGCATGTCGCCAGTTTGCTGCGCTACTGTTTACACGCATGAAAAGTGTGAATGAGATCGAGTCTGATTGCATTGGTATCAGAGCTGGTACCTGCAATTCCATGCGCGCCGTCGTGTGCAGGGCGTGACGCGCCATAGCAGAGGTGGCCGCCGAGAGTAGTAGTCCGCCATAGCGGACCCGAAGGTGGAAGAAGCCGCCGAGATAGATAGATAGATAGATAGATAGATAGATAGATAGATAGAGAGAGATAGATAGATAGAGAGAGAGAGAGAGAGAGAGAGAGAGAGAGAGAGAGAGAGAGAGAGAGAGAGAGAGGCTGAGCGATACAAGATTGGTTACTACGTACCTGCTGCGCTGAAGATTGGTTGTGCGGTCCAAGAAGAAATAGCGGCCATAGCCGCAGAGCTCGGAACACGGAGGAGAGAGGGGAGAGAAGCAGGAAGGAGGAAGGAGGGAAAACGAAGTCGAAGACAAACATAGCCGGGGGTGTACAAAAAAGAAAAAAGAGAAATAATGAGGAAGAAGAAAGGTGATAGGAGGAAGAGAAGGGAGATTG